ACAGGACATGGGTGGGCGCCGGATGCCACGGACTACCACCGGAAACGCGATCAGACGCCAGCCCTTGCCCCGCGGTTTCCGGAAACTAGTACCTCGGAGGTACTAGTTTTTAACTCCGCATCTTTGACGGGAAGCCTCGGGTTCGCCATGGGAGCTCTACGCTTCCCAGATGTTGCGGTGTGATCGCGCCCGGAAAATCCGCCTATCATCCGTCTCAGTAGTGTGGCTAATGCTCCGTGTGACTGCAGCCTATGTAACACAAGGGCATGTAGTGAATAACAATCAATTATGCTGTTTGCGTTTATCAGTCTCTAAAAATTCAACATTAGCTGAAAACCAGTGTCAGTGAGAGCAGCTGGCCAGGCAGCGAGACATCACTGCAATTTTCCTTTGGATTTGTGCTCTGCAGCCTAGCCTAGAAAGACACATTCAGCTACTGAGAGTCCTTCCAGAATAAGCTGGGAAATGAAAATAAGTGACTGGTAAGACCTTGGTATTTTAGTGGCAGTATCAGAACAAAGTTTGAGTCCAGTGGCACCTTTAAGACCAACAAAGTTTAATTCTGGGTATAAGCTTTCGTGTGCATGCACATGACAGCTTATACCCAGAATTAAACTTTGTTGGTCTTAAAGGTGTCACTGGACTCAAACTCTGTTCTAGTGCTTCAGACCAATATGGCTAGTCACCTGAATTTAAGCTCCACAGCCATTCTTAACTCACTCCACATTCCTCTCTTCAGCTCTCAAGAGGAGTAGCCCCTGTTTTATACTATGCCCAGGAGTAGTCCCTGTTTTATACTATAAATTTCTTTACCTATTACAGCTGGCACCTGGACAAAGGGGGAATATCCTGTTGACTGGGGGCATAAGTTCTTTAATGTGTTGTTTTAACGTTTGTTTTATTACACTTCTTTTGTACTTCTTTTTCAGTATTGTTACCCAGCCTGGGTCCTATGATGCCTGGGAGAAAGGCAGGTATATAAATATATTTTAAAAACATGCTCTCCCAGAGTGATGTTTTTAAATTTCTCCACTGGCATTCAACCTCAAGCAAAGCCCTTAGACTGAGCTGCCAATCAATGAATAATCATTAGCTAAGAAGATTCAGTGATACTTTACCAGAACAACTCCTGCATCATAGTTCCGCAGGCACAGCTTTCCTGAGAATGTTGATCCTACATAGTTAGGTCTCTCCCTGTAACTAAAGTACAAAAGCAGATGCCAAATCACGTACTTCAGGGACACCTACAAGTCACATGCCAAACCTGTAGAAATCACAGCTGGCTCCTTCCACTGCTGTTTGCCCATTCCATTGCTGTTGCTTCCCTTAGTGGGCGATTCTGCATTAGTGTTTCCGTCCATTGTTATACCAAACTCACATTGGAACAGAAATTCCCCTCTGCATTGCACACTGCTTTCACTTCCTTTGATCATCGGATTTTATGGTACCCTCTAGACTGCATGCCGCTTTCAGTTTCTTTGATCAACGGGTTGTATGGTACCTTCTGCATAGATTTATGGCCGTTCAGGGGTGACTTTGCAGTCAGTACCACGTTGCCCTGGGGTATTTGAATGTGGTTTTGAGCTGCACCTTTTCTGTTCCAGCGTGGGTTTGGTAAAACAAGAGGGAAAAGCCAATGCAGAATCAGCCAGTGTCAGCTGGCACAGGGTTTAGATCAAGAGCTTTGGAAGGTAAGGCACAGATTCCCTATGACCTCAGCTACCAGGATTAACAGCTGATGAAGGCAAACGGCAGCCATTTCAAGCCAGAATGCAATCATCATCACATAGAATCTTTGTGGCCCTAGAAGTCAAGTTGCCTAGTGCCATGCTCTGGTATATGGCACCAAAGCCTGCTACAGTCCTTTGTTATGGTGAACTTGAGACTGCAAGCAGTCACTCAGCTATGCCATCTGTAGTTCTCCCTTTCTGCAGCTACCTCACAATTAAATTAAAATTCCAGAATTATTTGAATGGCAAGGGGAGGAGGAGATTTGCTTATTCCTACTAACCTATTGCTACCTTTACCGCTCCTGTTGTTGTTTTTACAGTGGTACGACCACACACATACGCCACAGTGATGACGTGGGCTCCGTATCACATGTGAAATTTAAGGCTACTTTTCCTTAAACTGACAATGTGAACATAACACTACACTGACTGAAATTTTGTTTCCATTCCCCTATTCTGCCACACACCAACAACACTGAAATATCCCACAATTCGCAATAGAGAGGCTCAATGAACTAAAACATTCATTGACTTTGGCCACATGGTGGTGCTCTTGCAATGTTTTGCAAATATCCACAAAAAGGCTGGAAAATATTTAGGAATTAATGAAAAACTAGGGCTGTACACAAAAAAAACCCCTGCATTTTTCAGATTCGGGTATATCAAACCCAAAAAATATTGGTATATACCAATATTCCCGAATCCCAATATTGGTATGATACTGGGATTTAGGAAATAATTGGTATTGCCGAATTTATTCAGCTCCATACCTTACCTTCCCTCCCTGAGTTGCGCCACAGTGGTGGCATGCCTCAGCAACTGAAGGGAACGCATTTAAAGAGACTGTGACTGAAGGGAACACATTTAAATACCTTCCCTTGCTGAAGCATGCTGCCGCTGCAGCATAACTCTGCAAGGGAAGGGAAGGTATGTCTCTTTAAATGCTTTCCCTTCCCTTGCTGTGGCAGGGAAAGAAAGGCACGTGTGTGGCTTGGCTTTGCAAAAGCCATTTAAAGAGAATTTCCCCTTTAAATTGCTTTTGCAAGCCAAGTCACACACGAGGAACCGGGAAGCAGCATGAGTTCACCCAGAAGGTGGGTGAACTCACACCGCTTCAGCTGAGCTCAAATAAAAGCCAAATAATATCAGCTTTTATTTGGGCACAGCTGGATCAGTAGCCGAATCAGATCAGAAAGTCTGGATTGGTAGCCTAATCAGATCAAAAAATGTGATCCTGCTGGATAAATACCCAAGAAATACCGAAAAGGGTATTCATTCGGCTTAGCACACACCGAGCACATACCCTATGAAAAATACAAGCCCAGCTTTGGGTACATGCAAGTATGGCCCACCAAGTAAGTGTCAAGGGCTATGGTTATGTGCTACTGGGAAAACTGATACACTGAAACATTGTTTACTGGAATGTCCCTTTTCCTCAAATGTGAGAGGATATTCCATTGCTAGGTGGGATGGTAGCTGTATCAGCGGGAGAAAAATTGGGGAGACTTTTAGGTGGGCTGGATTCAGAGGTTACTTTGGCTGTTGCGAAAAAAAATTTCATATGCTATAGCAAGTAGAAAATTATTTTAAGATGATTGTTTAGCTTAATTTATGCAGATTCTAATCTGGTTCTATGCAAAACCTACAGGTTAAATGAGTACTATCATTGATGTATTTAATTGTAAATCTCCCTTTTTCATAAAATGCAGTAATGGAACTATTTATTTACTTCACCTATACCTCACTTTTCTACCCAATTGGGATCCAAAGCAGTTTATATTCTCATCCTCATAATGAGTTAGTTAGTGTGCAAACAGCACGAGCTCCCATGGCAGGGTGGGGAATCAAACCTGGGTCTCCCAGATTCTAATCCAACACTCTTACCACTATACACACAGTCTCATACATAGTATGAAGTCAAAGTAGAATGCACTTCCCCCTGCTCCCCCCCACCAGCTTCTCAGTAGCAGCTAAAGATAGGGAATGGGGATGAGGAAGCAAACAACAAGATGTTGTCATGAGATGTTGTCATGACCATCTTCAAGTACTTGAAGGGCTGTCATATAGAGGATAGTACGGAGTTGTTTTCTGTTGCCCCAGGTCAGACCAGAACCAACGGGTTGAAATTAAGTCAGAAGAGTTTTTGTCTGAACATTAGGAAGAACTTCCTGGCAGAATTAGTGCTTATGTAGAGTGCTGTTTAATATGAAATAAGTTTTTTTCCTTACGCAAATAAATACGCTGTATCATGTGGCCGTAGAACAAGGTATGAAGTTTTCCACTTTAAAAACCTTTGCAATAATACATCCACTTCTCCTGTAGTAGAGATTTTATTATGATCTGTCCAGAACTCCAAAGAAGACAGTACAATTGTTATATTAAGGCTGGTAAACATCTGAAAAGATGGAAAATACATACTAAAATAATTCTGCATATACATATTACATTAATTTTATAAACACAAATTATAAATGGTTTAGACAGTAAAGGGTCACGGCATGTCAGGAATAAAAACTAAAATGTATGGGGTAAAAATTAGGGATGGGCACGAACCGGAAAAATATGGTTCGGGTCGGTTTGTGGCTGAACCATGAACCAAACCAGATTTGCTTGTGAACTGAACCACTTTGTGGTTCGCGGCCCTGCAAACCCCATTGAAAGGGGCTGCTGTCACTTTAAATGGGAGTTTATAGAAAGCATGAAAAACAGCTGAGCAGCTCCCCACCATTCAGCTGTTTTTGTGGCTTTCGCAGGGAATAGAAAGCAGTGGTTTAAAAGGACTTGGGGTCCCTTTAAACCCCTGCTTTCTGTTCCATCCATGATCCACCACAAACTGCTTTAAAAGTTTGTGATTTGTGACAGTAGACCCGTCATGAACGTCTGTTCATGAACCACAAACAGGGAAAGATTCATGACAAATGTTGCTTCGTGGTTCAGTTAATGCCCATCCCTAGTAAAAATAGAGGAAGTGCCCCTGAGTAGAAGCAAATAATTGAGTAATAATAGAAAGTCCTCGCCCATCAGAGATTAAGAAGAAAAACATCCAGATACACAACTTTATCTTTTATATTCTCTTTGTCTTCTTTATTTCTATCCTGCCCACTCCTCTGAAGTGCTCAGAATGGCATACAGTGGTTTTCCCTTTTGTATTTTATCCTCACAACAACCATGTGAGTTAGGTTAGGCTGAGAAAGGAAGACTAGCCCAAGATCATCCAGTGAACTTCATGGCAGGAGGGAACTGAACCCAGGACCTTCCTATCATAGTTGACCTCTATACAGTACAGCACTGATCCAGCTAAATATAACAGTAATCTAGGGTCACTGGGTTATATGGGAGTTTGTCAGGGCCAGTTTTATGTATTAAATAAATAAATCCTGCCATTTGATCTAGGTATCTACAAGGTGGCTAACAAGGATCCTTAAAATCCAGAAAAACTACTACAAAGTAGTAGAAGTACAACATCACACAGCAGCAGAAACTAATAAACACCAGAATGACCAGCAATCATATTAAGCTTATAAGAATGCTTGATGAGGCCCCAGAAGCTCCTGAAAGAGAACCATCTTTGAGTGTTGTCTAACAAGGCAACCTTAGGAAGAATTACACTTTTCTAAGCCTATTGACTTCAGTGGACCTAGAAGGGTACAACTCTGATTAAGACTGCACTGTAAAAACAGCAGAAATGTAGTAAGACATTGTCTGAGTGTTCAACAACTATTACCTACAGCAACTCAGATGTGGGAGGTATGTAAAGCAGGACCTCCAGGAATATTTCAATGTACAGGTATAGGGAGAAAGAGCTTATTGAGATATTCCAGACATAGCCTGTTATGAGCTTTTGCTGGATCCGGGTTTAACTGTCTCACACAATTATTACTTACTAGGAAAAAGGCCCGTTGTGGAAATAAATACAACGGCCTCTAGAAAGAGGCTCTGGGCGGGTGCCCCACTCTTGGACACTCAGTGTCAATTTGCTGTGGCGACCTCAGCAGGGTATAATGACAGAGTCCACTGTTTTCTCCAGAGGAACTGATCTCTGCTACCTAAAGAACAGTTGTAATTTTGAGTGATCTCCAGCCCTCACCTGGAGATTGGACACATTTTACCACAGAACAGGAAACTGTTTAGAATGTTAGAGGCAAAAGCCAATCAAGTCGCATATGCAAACGACCTCTGTGTTCTGAGGCAAAGGCCAATGAGGCTGCATATGCAAATAACCTCTGTGTTCTGACTCGCTATGGGGGGGAGAGGATTAGCAAAATGTTTAGAATGTTGGAGGCAGGACTCAGGCAAAGCAGCCAGTGGATAGGGAGACCCTCTGAATGACAGATCAGAGAGTGAACTGATTTTGGAGTGTGTGGAATGTTCTAGAGAAGTGCCACCACCATTCGGCTTTTATTTATAAGGAAGATAAGGTGCCTGAAGTGTCTGCATTGCCAGAAATGGTGCATGAAACAGAACAGACCATTTCAATGCTGGAATGACGCCACCTTGAGCATGCACTCCTGGCACTCAATGCTATGCTATTATCTTGCCAATGTAAATGCTCACTGTACAGAGCAACAGACAAATGACAGTGTCCAAGTGATTCATGTCACAAAAAAACAAAAAACTTACACTGTTGAGAAAGCCAATGAGCCGGACTACTTTCTGGGTTACAATATCTTCATTTCCACCCAAATAGTTATACTGAAAAAGAAGGATGCATAATAATACCCATAACTAATTATATTCCATTTTTGCTGCATTTACTGCTACTGTTGGCAACAGAATCCTGGGTTAGACAGACCTTTTTCTGAGAGCTGAACTAACAAACCCACATTTGTTGAGATAACAGGTCTGGACTAGCAGGCCTAGGGAAGCGTACGTCTCACCACCAACCTACAATACCATCTTCTTCTCAAACAGCTCCTCTTTCATGGGCCATTTCTCCCTCAACCAGACTTAATTTCAATTTCAGAGCTTGGCTGGGTGGGGGGGGGACTCTAATCAGAACCTGTTTGTTATTCCAAAGACCCCATGTGTGCAGATGGGAGATTCCTTTTCTCCAATGGAGGAATGGGAGTGCAGGCTATCTAGCTAATGCTCCAGAAGGTTCCAAAAGAGCACTCTGCACAAAACCTGTGAGTCTACACAGAGACCATGATAAAGAATGGTCGAATGAGGAACAGCTTAAGCATTCTCTCTGTATAGAACCCCTTATTTTTCTTGTTACACTGAGTTCTGTCCTGATCTGGTGCAGCTAGGCAATTTGTTGTCGCTAACCATGAGTCCACACTGGTCCCAAGAAAGCCCACTCCTAGAAAGTTTCAAAGGAAATACAGTTTAAGCACAGAGACTTACCAAACCCTTATCCACAACGACATACATTTCCACATATCTATGAATCTCAGTCATTTCTCGCGGCTGAGGACAGACAATATAATTTAGTAACCATTTATGTATTTTACTTGCTAAAACTTCTATAATTCTGAAATCATAAAAGCCACATTCTAGGACCCCACATAAAGAGAAGCCACTTCCTAGGACCCCAATGGCAGCTGTGTGCCAATGCTCATGTGGCAACAGGAGCATCAGTTATTATCTGTGGGTATACTGTAGAGGGAAAATAAGTGACAGGCACCCCTTGGTAAAGGTCAGACTGCATGGTGAGTGCCCCAGAATTCCCTGCAAACCTGGTGACATCCCTCAAGCAAGGACTGGCATCATGCTGACCCTTCAGTTCCTCCCCCCCCCCCAAGAGGAGCTGTACAGCATGCCAGGCAGGCGCCCTGGTGCAAACATAGCCCAGGGAGCTCTGCAGCTAGGGATTCAAGTCCTCATCTGTATCCAAGTCCTCTTTTCCTAGGATGACATGGATGGTTAAGGGATAACTTCGTAGGGATGCTTGGTCTGGAGACCAAATTGGAGCAAAACTTCCACAAGGAAGCAGTATGTTAACCTTTTCAGAGCCTCCCCCCCCCCACCTTAAACAGTGTAAAGGAAGTACATGTCACCTTTCAATTTTTACAGATATATGGTTACAATAATTCCCACATAAAGTTTGAATATAACATTTAAACTACACAATTTATTTTTACCTAATCAAATATTTCAGTTCAAGTAGTTGTTGCTTTGGGGACTTAACATTAATGGGGTACTTTGAGAATCTGGTTTACTAACACAGATCATTGTGCCATATGCATGTCTGCCAAGAAGGGGGAAATCACCCCGAAGAAACAGACGTCTAGACAGGCATCCACCCATTGCTAGTACAGAAATGCTCTGCTCAGGGTTTGCGCAGAGGCAAAATTCTTCCGGGGTCGGGGGGGGGGGGAGAGAGAGATTGAAATGCCATGTCTTTAGCTAGAATTCTATGACTAGATAAAGAACACCTCGTTTATACTTGCCCAGACTGAGAAGTTAGGCCACAGGCAGAAGCTTTACAGTGCAATCCTAAGTAGAATTGCAACTTTGTAGGTCTATTAACTTCAATGGATGCCCACTGGAATCCCTTGTGTCAACTAACACTCTTATTACACAAGACACCCGATGCGAGTAGATGTTCGACTGGTTGTTATTGTTCAGTCGCACAGTCGAGTCCGACTCTTCGCGACCCCATGGACCAGATCACGCCTGGCCTTCCAGTCTTCCGCCGTCCTCTGAAGTTTGCTCAACTTCATGTTCGTTGCATCTATGACACTGTCTGACCATCTCGTTCTACTGGTGACTTATCTTAAAAGTGATTGGGGGTGTACAATTTTTCTTGAAGTGGCAGCATGGCATGAGAAGGTGCTTTGGTCTTTCCTCTTGTGCCATTTTCAGCAACAAAAAGGGCTGCAAAGGAAGGGGGCCCATTTGTCCCCAAAAGCAGGACAAACGGCCCCCCCCAGTGGATGTTTCTGCTGCCAAAATGGGATGAGATAGAAGGTTGAACTCCCTTCTAGTGCTGTGCTGATACTCTGAGAAAAACTGCCCACGCCAATCACTTTTAAGGTGAGTCACCGGTTGAACATCTGACAGTAAGTCAGGTCGGGATTCTTGTGTCGTAACAGTCTGGTATTTGCTGAGCTGTTAGTTGGAATGCTGCTCTCTAGGCATCCAATGTGGAAGAACTGAAGCACAAGACACACCTGGTCTAAGCTACCAAGAAGGCCCAGAAAATAATGTGCCTGAGTACTGGAGCCTCTGGTTCAAGATCGTAAGAACATAAGAAGAGTTCTGCTGGATCCAACCAGTACCCAGCATCCTATTTCGCACAGTGGCCAACCAGTTCCCCTCGAGGACCAACAGACATGTTGCTTCCTAGAACTGGCATTCAGAGGTTTACTGCCTCTGAATGTGGATATACCCTTTAGTCACCATGCCTAGTACCTTCGGATGGTCCTATCCTCCATGAAATTTGTCCGATCCTCTTTTAAAGCCTAAGCACCTTGTACTTATGACTCATGTCTCCATCCCAGTTAGTCAGCTCTGTGAAGTTTAAACTGTTTGGAACGTCATTAAAAATGTATCTAAGTAGCTCATTTATCTTAGACATGCTACAGTTAAGTTGTTCGTTCTCTCATGGTTTGCTCCGCCAACAACTGTTGACACAGTAATAAAGTTTTTAAAAATAAAATAACCAGCACTCACTCCAGCATCTGAAAGCAGCTTATGAGAGATCTCTCTGTTTTCCTCTTCTCCTGTTATAGGTATGAAATCGTCTAACAACACTGAACCCTTGAGATCTTTGTTATTTATTTGAAAAACAAGGTGTTCAAACTTAGTGGAGGACTCCAAATGTTCAATTCCATAGCTGAAGTTCTCAAACTGCAGTAGCCCTCTGAGGGGGGAAACAGAAAGCAAGTTGCAGGAAAGCTTTGGGGGGGGAAATAACAGCATCTAAAATCAGCCTCCAACCAGCCTGAGGCCCAAGCATAGTCTCAAAAGGGGTGCAAAGAACATTTGTAACTAACATGTTTCCCCTCTTAATTTGTGCATCTACAATCCAGCTCCCTTTTTTGGATACACAGAGTGTTTCCATATCATCCAACCAAACTTCTAGCATTGCATCCAGCCCACCAGGTGCAGCCTGGTGCATTGTTGTTGCCTATGCCACAGGTGTCCTAGGCCATGTGTCCCCGGTAGGACCCATGGCAGTTCAGTATGCAGCAGGTTTGTGGTTGGCCTGTGTAGGGATGAGGGAGGGGAACAGCTGTAACAACGTAGTGAGAGGGGCAAAGAGGTTTTTGCCAAAAGGCTGTGCTTTGGGGGAGGGTGCTTTAATCCTTGCTAGGTCTCCTCTGCTTAACATGCACGTACAGTGAGAGCTGGCAAGAACAACTTGCTCAGGCCCTCTGTGACTTGTTATTGCTGAGTTTGGGTGATCAGAGCATGGCATCCTCGCTGATTTCATCTTTGTCCCTTCCTGCCCTCGTCCAGCAGGACTTTGCAATCCCTTCCTTTGATGTGCCTCCTCCTCCTACAGCTGCACTAAACAGGAGCATCCATGTGACTTGTCGGGCTTTGGGCCAGAGAAAATAAAACCTATTTGGGCCAGAGAAAATAAAACCTATTTTTCTGAACTGAAATAAATTAATAATTGGCAATATTTGGAACTCTTCATATCTGGCTATTATTCTGGAACCTGGCTTAGATTTCATGAAGACCAGAGGGAGGGAGAAAACTGACTCAGCTGACTGGTGATACCACCACCACCCCCAAAATCAGCAAAATTACACAGACATCTTGACACCAATGAGGACTGTGCCAACATGTCTGTACTGTTTACACCAGTCACATTACAGGTTCACTGGCTGGGGAGAGCTTAGGTCTATGTAAACAGTGGACTCTGTTTCCCTCTTATTTTGCTGTCTCTCTGGTACTGTGCCAGCTACGCATAATGGCCGACGTTTACTTATGCCGGCTGGCTGGCAGGCAGGCAGCACCGTAGACAGGGAGGGGAGGAGGAAGAGATAGAGGCAAATGCTCCAATTTGTTCTCTTCTCCTTCAGCAACATGCACCGCTGCAACTGGGGCAGGTGAACAGAATCAAACATTTCCTTGGGAACCCCATGTTTCACTTGTAACACCCAATTCCATCTGCACTCTAGTCCTTTTGTTGTTCAGTCGCACAGTCGAGTCCGACTCTTTGCGACCCCATGGACCAGCTCCTGCCAGGCCCTCCTGTCTTCCGCCATCCTCTGAAGTTGGCTCAACTTCATGTTCGTTGCATCTATGACGCTGTCTAACCATCTCATCCTTTGCCGTCCCCGTCTTCTTTGACCCTCTCTCTTTCCCAGCATCAGGGTCTTCTCCAGTGAGTGCTCCCTTCTCATTGGGTGGCCAAAGTATTTGAGCTTCAGCTTCATTATCTGGCCTTCCAGGGAACAGTCAGGGTTGATTTCTTTTAGGATTGACTGATTTGATCTTCTTGCAGTCCAAGGGACTCTCAAGAGTCTTCTCCAGCACCATAGTTCAAAAGAATCTATTCTTCGGCGCTCGGCCTTCCTTATAGTCCAACTCTCGCAGCCATACATGACGACTGGGAATACCATTGCTTTGACCATGCGGACTTTTGTTTATCTCTACTTTTTATCATGCAGAATGAAAATTGGGATGGACTTCTCCCACTGGAGAAGACAGGAATGACAAGAAAGATTAGCCCTGCATCTTAAGCCTGATAGCAGAAATCACCCTCACCAACTTATCGTCTTCCTCCGAGTGACATAGAACTCATAGCACGGCGGAGGCTCTGATGCTTCATTTTTGGGTCCCATTCAAATTACTCCTAAGTCGATAACTCTGGCTGTTTCCCCCCAAATTCTGTTGTAGCTGATTAAGAGAGCCTAATTTCAGAGGGTTGTTGTGTTGGTCTGCAGTAGAACAGCTAGATTTGAGTCCAGTGGCACCTTAGAGAACACAGCAGGATTTTCAGGGCATGAGCTTTCGAGAGTCAAAGCTCCCTTCATCAGATACGTCAGAATGCAGATATCTGAGTCTTTATATCCCAGTCAGAAGGCTGACAAAATCTTGCAAAGAAGGAACTCAGGATGCAAAGATACAAGGCACACTGTGACCGACTTCACACAAGAGCTGCGCCACGGTTGCGCCTCCCTTTGCCCCGCTTCTATTGTTCATTTTCCCACTCGAAGCCGCGTGGCCGCATTTTGATCCGCGGCTTCGCCCAATTTCCCCCGCGGTTTTGTGATCCTGTTTTTTTGAGGATCAAGAAACCGCGTGGAAAATTAGGCAAAGCCGCGGGTCAAAATGCGGCCACGCGGCTTCGAGTGGGAAATCGAACAATAGAAGTGGGGCAAAGGGAGGTGCGACTGCGGCGCATCTCTTGTGTGAAATTGGTCTGTAATCCACTTGATTAGAGCAGAGGAACAGAAAATTGGCATTTGTGGTGAGATAAGAATCCTACGTCCCTATTCAGCCCCAGGGGGTCCATTGTTCGGAATCCGAATGAACTCAAGTTCAGCAAACTAGTACTCTCCCTTGAAACTGCCAGTCTTCGATCAGCAAGGAGCTTTGATTCTCAAAATCTTCTACGCTGAAAATCTTGTTGGTTTCTAAAATGCTTCTGGAATCAAATCTAAGAGAACCTGGTTTCCAAAAGGGCTGTGCAGGAAGCTTGAAGTTCCAAGGCTATTCAACTCAGATGACTTAAGGAACAGCTTATGTTAGGTCAGACATCTGTGAACAGATCTCTCAACAGACATCTGTGAGCTGAGCAGATCTCTCAAAAAGGAGCCACAGAGGAACCCAGTTCAGAATGAAGTCATGGCCCTGGGGTGGGGAATAACTGTTACATACTGTACTATTTCCCTAACAGAAATCCCTCTCCCTCCACACACACAAAGAAGCTGATTATTAATATTTATTGTACCTGTTGTACATATTGTTCCCAGGGGGTTTTCCCCTGCTGGGAGTAATAGTAGTCACAGAGAGGAACACTTAAGTCTCCTGTCTCAGCACATAAGCTCCACTCTAAATTGAGGCTCGTGTTGGAAAAATCTGATCATGAGTCCCCAATGTAACATAAGAACATAAGAGAAGCCAATGTTGGATAAGGCCAATGGCCCATCCAGTCCAACACTCTGTCACACAGTGGCCAAAAATACCAGGTGCCATTAGGAGGTCCAGCAGTGGGGCCAGGACACTAGAAGCCCTCCCACTGTTCCCCCCCCCCAAGCACCAAGAATACAGAGCATCACCTGCCCCAGACTGAGAGTTCCTATCTATACCTTGTGGCTAATAGCCACTGATGGACCTCTGCTCCATATCTATCTATATATCTAATAGCGAAGTGGTCCCGTGAGTGCGGATATCTAAATCCGTGCTCCGGGGCCACCTGGGGGGCAGGGAGAGGTTTGTGCACACGTGGGGCGGTCCCCACGTGTGCACAAAAATTTTTAAAAAAACCAAAATATCGGGGGGATATTTAAATTCCCCCAAAACTGAGAGAGCATTTCCTGCGCATGCGCAGGAAACGCTCTGCCGCCAGCGTCGCCGCCGCCGCCTTGGAGCCGGCCGGGCCGAGGGCGGCCGAGGGCAGGTGAGGGGGGGGACAGCCGGTCTCGCCACCGGCCTCGCTTGGGAGGGGGGGAAGCAGCCGGGCTCGCCGCCGCCTCAGAGCCAGCCGGCTGGGGCGAGGGCGGGGGGGAGCAGCCGGCCTCGCCACCGGCCTCACTTGGGAGAGGGGGGAACAGCCGTGCTCACCGCCGCCTCGAAGCCAGCCGGCCGGGGTGAGAGCGGGT